TTTTGCTTTAAATTTTTTTTTTCCAATAGATTCTTGATTTTTTTTTTTTTTTTTTGAAGGGTGGTTTGATCTAATTGTGCTGATCAGGTTTATTGATGTCCTCAACAGTCCTGGTGATATTCTTTGCAACTATAATATTTGCATCTGTCTCCGAGTATGAAGCAAGAAACTTACCTAACGATGTTTTTGCTGATGAAGTAGACTGTACGATCAATGACCGATCAGGCCATGTAAGTTGTTGGCCGGTTTATTTTCATCTACCAATTTATTTTTGTTTTTTTTTAACCTGTTTTTACTGTATTATAAAAGTAGAAAAAAGAAGAGTAGAAAAAAAAAAACATTTTAGTTTTTTTTTTATCAGAAGTTAGAGCATTTAAATTAAATAGCTATAAATTAGGCTGAAAACTGTTGTTTTTGGTCTTAAAATATATCACTAACAAAGTTATATAGCACAATTACAATAACCTTGAAAACTAGAACAGTCTTTTCTGAACATATTTTGAAAACAATGATATAGAAAAGAGGCAAAAATACTGTTATCAACAGTCAATTAGCGGTTCAGTAAACACTGAAAATAAATTGCGAAAAAAAAAAAACAATTCTATTTGACGCTATTTATACACCGATGACTAAAAACCTTACAAAAATCGGTGGGTCATTTACGGCTAAATCACAGTTGTTTATCAATTTGTTGTTGTTTTTTTTTTTTTGTCGTTGCTTAATTCTTTCTAATTTTTTCATGCTTTTTTAAACGAAAAAAAAAGTTGATGCATTTTTATATACGATTTAAAGTGTAATTTATTGTAGTCAGTTTCCTCTGCCTGAGAAATTTTCTTACAGATTTTAAAGTTAAAAAAAAAAATTTTTTTGAGAAGCATAACAAATAAAAAGCAAAAAAAAGAGTTTAATAAGAGTTATGATAATTGTTACGTTAATTCCATGACAACTGCAACAACTATTAATTTAAAAAAAAACAATAAGAAAAAGAGAGAAAAGAATTAGTAAGACAAAAGTGGTCTTA